ATTTCCAAAAGTATAAATAATATTTCATTTACTATAAATAATTTTTGTTTTTTGTTATTTATTTAAATGGTGTATATAAGGAGTATAAAATAATAAATGAATATATTATTTTCAATATGAAAATATTTTATTCTTGTTATATATATATATATATATATATCTGTATATTTTTTAGGTAATTAAATCTTCACACTTAGATATTGTTTGTTAGAATCATAAAATTTAATTAGATCTCCGAAAATAAATAATCAGAAATTTAAACCAATATTGTATTGTTTTGATTATTAGAATATTTTCTAAAACTGAGATCTCTTTGTATAAATGCAATTTCTAAATTTCAATTTGTCATTATTATTTCCAAAAATATAGTTTTCAAATATAAGTTTTCGGAAGCTATTTCTAAATGCTAATTTTTATTAAAACTTTACAATTAGTAATTGTGTTCTTTGAAAATTTATATATTTTAAATATTCATATTTTCATTTTAAAATGGATAATTAAATCGTAGCCTTTAATTCTGTATTAGGAAACTTTAATATTTTGGGTGGGTATTTAATCATATTTCTAAATGATTAACCATTATACCAAAGATTACAAACTTATTTGGTAATTAGAATATTATCTAAATATTAAGATCTTTTTTAGGTGATGAGAAACGTAATTACCTTAAAATGTGCAATTGTTATTCACCATTTATATTTAAATATACACAATTAATTTAGATTTCTAAAATATGCATATATCATTATTATAGTTTCCTAAATAAGGGGAATTTTTAGTAATTGATTTTTTTTAATAGTTAATGTCCATATCCGAATTTTAGTCCAAAAATTAAGTATCCATCATTATAATTTCGGGTTATTTTTCTGTTTTTGACCCGACCCGGAAGTACTTTTGTACTTCTCTTTTACTATAGTAGAGATATTTGTATTTATCAAAGTACTACTCATGTTAATGTTGTATTTCTGATCTCAAGGTGGAAAGGTAAAAGATGGAGTAAACAAAGAAGGTGTACAATTCTACAATGATCTCATAAATGAGCTAATCGCTAATGGTAATTAAATCAAATACGGCTGGTTAAAATAAACTATGGTTTAGGTTTTATATTATATGGTTTGGTGGGGGAAATTATGTAGGCATTCAACCTTCAGTGACTCTCTATCATTGGGACCATCCTCAAGCTCTCGAGGACGAGTATGGTGGTTTCTTAAGCCCTCAAATAATGTAAGCAAACTTATAACAATATATAATTTACGTGCACATCAATTGAAGAAACTATGGCGAACATTTTTATTTGTTTTTCGATTATTCAGAGAAGATTTTCGAAATTTTGCAAGAGTTTGTTTTGAAAATTTCGGAGATAGAGTTAGGATGTGGACAACTATCAACGAGCCTTATGTCATAAGTGTTGCGGGGTACGAGACTGGTAAAAAGGCGGTCGGACGGTGCTCAAAATGGGTGAATAGTCAGTGTGAAGCCGGTGACTCGGCCGTGGAGCCTTACATTGTATCACATCACCTTCTTCTTTCTCATGCAGCAGCAGTACATGAGTTCCGAAATTGTAACAAGGTATATTATACATTGGTAGTCATAAGTATTCAAATTTATAATAAGATTGGTATAGTTTTGTATTAAACCATAAGTGTCTCATGCATGGAACAGACTTTACAAGATGATAAGATTGGGATAGTGTTATCACCTTGGTGGCTTGAGCCTTCCGACTTCACTTCTTATACTGATAAAGAAGCCGTTGAACGTGGCCTTTCCTTAGAAGTAGATTGGTACGTTATATTAACCTATGGTAAAAAAAAATTTCTATAACCACTTGAATTTTTGTGGTTGAACTTTAATATTCGAGGCTATAAGAATTTTTTTCGTGGCTATTAGATTTTTTTTTACTATAGCCACGAAAATTAGATTTTTTTACTAGTAAAAATATATACTTCGAAATCATAAAATTTATTTTATCATTTCTGAATGTATTTGTGTTAGGCATTTAAATCCGGTGATTTACGGAGACTATCCAGAAAATATGAAGAACCATGTAGGGCATAAACTCCCTTCTTTCACACCAGAACAATCAAAGATGTTGATAAATTCATCAGATTTCATCGGAATAAACTACTATAGCGCATGCTTCACCGCACATCTTCCTCACATCGATCCTGGTCAATCTCGATTCAGAACTGATCACAATTTTGAGAAAAGAGGTAAAGATGTTACCTAAAATCACAAAACTTAATTTTCTTGTATGATTTAAGTAAACTATCTTCTGTATGCATATCATTTTTGAGCAGGAACAAATCATAGTAACCACCGAATCGGACCAGGGGTATGTAACATTTAATCATATGTTACCCTAAAAATTTGAATATATTTCAAGAACATTTATTTTCCTTTAATGTTTTGCACAGGACGCTCGAGGAGGCATAATACAATCATACCCACAAGGTTTTCGAAGAGTTCTAAATTACATCAAAAATAAATACAATAACCCAATCATCTATATAAAAGAAAATGGTGAGAAATCTTTTTTTTTATATATATGCATCAACAGCAAAATAAGTTAAACTGAATCATTGTTGTTCTTGATCAATTTGTTTTGTTTGCTAACTTATTTTTTGCAGGAGTTTATGAATACGATGATGGTTTAGTGTCACGGGAAGAGATACTCAATGACACATTTAGAATAAGCTACCATAAGGAACATCTCGAACAACTTCACAAAGCTATAATGTAAGCTTTAAAGGCAACAATTTATATTTGGGTTTACTAAAAGTAAAAACCATAGTATTTATTTTGTTTTCTACTATTACATATCTATAAAATGATCTTAAACTGTTGTAACAGAGATGATGGGTGTGACGTGAGAGGATATTACGTTTGGTCTTTACTAGACAACTTCGAGTGGGAGTTTGGTTACTCAACTAGATTTGGTCTTTACTATGTTGACTACAAAGACAATCTCAAACGGTATCCTAAAAATTCAGTTAACTGGTTCAGACAGTTTCTTGCTAGACCGGTGGTAAACACTGAAGAAACACAGAATGAAGAAGTGTGGAATGTGATAGGTGAGGAAGAATATAGTAATAACAATAAGGATGAGGCAGAGGGTTTCAAGAGTTCAGTTGATTCTATTGTCGACAATCTCAAGACAAAACAACAGAGAATAGAAGCAGAAGAAGAGAAAGGTTTTTGTGCTTTGAGAATCCTAATGACTAGTTGGGTTTTTTGCTAAAGCCACACAACTCTTTTGTGGTTCTAGAAACCCTTTTTTCATGTTGTGGTGTTGATGTAATCTATATACTGTATGTACATTACCAATAAAGGAAATATCTAGTCTAGTTAAAATCTTTTTTTTTTATATAAACTTTGTCGATCTAGTCAGCTCTAGTAGAAACACACCGAAATATGTCAAAGTAGATTACTGCTATCGGGGTATTACCGAGGGATCACCATATTGTATGTCCCGAGTTTGGAATGCATTCCAACTAATGTCGGGATAACCAAGCAGGTTGCATTTCTGACTAGTAAGTAAACCAATTGGGTGAACGCCTAATTGACAGATTTCTCACATAAATGTAATTTTTATTTCGAAGATGGATCGAATATAAGTTAGTTTCTTTCCAACTTTTTCCCAGTTCTCTTTTTTCATTGGACCACAAAAAAAAATCATGATTATGGGTTTTAATTAATGTGAAACTCGTAAAGTGTTTATATGTTCTTTTGTTTGATGTAGCATGTTTCAAAGTGAATCATATGAGATTTTGAAGTAAAGATAGATTACTTCTTCTTTTTATTTTTTCAATATTTATGTTCATTGATTAGTAACTAAATTATAGAAATGCACACCCAATCAAGTATGTAACTAGGCAACAATCTAAAGATAGATAAATCATATGTATTGTTCTTTAACCTACAACTAAAATTTTTTAAACCATTTGAGTTTTATTATGAAGTTAAATTTAGTCAAAATTTAAAATAAACTTGACTATGCAATATGTAAAGGTATTAAAAATAAACTAGGGATGGACCCGCACGTACGTGCGGGATTGGTTGCAAAAACTATGTTTATCATAAAGTTTCTAATATTTTAATCGACATGATATAAGACTCGGATCGAGTGTGAACTGAATGACTGATAAATTAGAAATCAATTAAATTTGTGAACTATCACATCACATAAACTAATGAAAAACATTAAAACTTTTGAATAAAATAACATACAGGACAGTCAAACCCGTTCACTATGCATGTCCTACAACAAATTGAAATATTTTCGTCCACCCACATGAATAAATAGTATGTCTTCAGCTTGCCCGTTACCCATAATTCCCTTTTGTATTATTAGAATTAGTTAAGATAATAATTTTTTATTTTCTATATTACCCGTTCCCTTTCCGTTATTTCTTGTCCCAATATTTGAAATTTTTAAGTGAAACTTACTTTTGCTATTAAAATTTCATATTCTTGTATCATACCCGTCATTTGATATTTGAAAGTTAAAAATTAAATTTAAGTTTCCAAATTTTTTATATAGGCTTGTTTTTGATGAGAAATAGTTTAGATATTTTTTTTTTTGAATTACCCATTCCCTTTTTGTTCCCGTTCTTTTTCTCT